CCATGTTGTTAGTCTTCATTGTATGGTTGTCATCTCGAAAAGCCATGCCATACTGGGAAATTACGCACTTCATGATCATTTAACGTTAAATGTTTTTACTATCTGCTATTAAATTAACGCTGATCTACAGTACACAGTGTTGGCATTGGACATATGTTCAATGCCAACACTGACAGTACACTATAAAAAATCTTGATTAATGATCATCATTATATGAACTGCACTATGTCCCCCGACAGTTATGGCTTACCTAAGCAACTATAGTCTCGACAGGTTATAATTTTCAATTTTCATAACTCTTAACCCTGCCAATTTCATCTTATGACTAACATCACTCAATTAAGCATTACCCTCTTATTAGACAAAGAATCGATATAACCAGAATGAAAGTTGAGTTCGCAGAAAAGAATTCTTTCCACTTACTCACTAATATACTATGATCAATTACCCTATACATACTTTAATCAATGATCGCATTGCTAATTACCATATTCTAATCGAACGATCGATCAAATGTGTGACTGTAACTGAGCTTGTCACATGTTTGATTAGGTGATGTCAATTTGGGAAAAAGTTGTTCCAATACTTACGTATCGAGTAGCTTTTGTTAAAAAAAAAAAAAGTTTTAATTTGTATGTTTTGTATACTCTTACCATATTCACAATCTGCTTTTAAATTCGCTTTTTTGTCATTTAATGTGAGATTTATAAATATTTTCTCTATTCTATATAGCTAATTGACTGACTTGAATTGAAATGTTAGCTGTCAAAAACTGAATACTAGATACTCACTAAAACTGCATCCTGTGCAGCGCGAACCTTGTTGATAATTAAATCGATTAGTTGTTTTACATTTTTTCTAAATCGATTAGTTGAATAGTTGATTTTCAACTAAACGATTCGGATCACTATGTTAGAATCAGTAATTATAGCTGATCAGCGTAATATAGATCGCTATAATTTCTTTAATAAAGATTCGATTTTCGATTGAATCGATTCCAATATATCAAAAAAAGGAAAATAAAAAGAATTTTCACAAGAAAACATATGATAAATAGCCGCCTTACAACTAATCTCAAAATTATAAAATAAATTATACAAAAGCATCGATCTTTTTTAATTATTTACTTCATTCTATAGAATGACAAATAATAAAAATAATAAGGCCATTCATAGCACATATGATAATGAAAGATATAAAATACTGTCAAAATATCCTTAATTCTAATTAATTTAACGCGTTTAAATTAATGATAATATAACAATGACTTCTTATGGGATCTTTTTCTTTTATATTATTTTTTGGACAGCAGTAGTCTCGCCCACGCCAATTTTGAAGCTGGGGTTTGAACAAAAAACAAATTATTTTAATTTAACTATAGAAAAAGTTACTTTAGCTCCAGATGGATTTACTCGTCAATTATCAACCGTTAATGGACAATATCCTGGACCAGTCATAGAAGTTAACAAAGGGGAACGTATTGTGATGAAAATTCATAATAAATTAGGAGAACCAACAGGTAATTTGCAGCGAATATTTTCCTATGTTTTATGTGTTGTACGTATTTTTAAGTGCATATTGTAAAATGAAATATTAGCTCTTCATGCGCATGGAATGCTTCAAAAAGGGACTCCTTGGTATGTGATTTTTTTTTTTTTTACCGA